CTCCAAACTTCACCTCTGATAACTACAAGTCTGATCTCTTTTTCCATGAGTTTTGTTTTGTTTTTAAGATTCCACATATAAGTGAAATCATACAGTATTTGTCTCTGACTTATTTCACTTAGCATAATACCTTCAAGGGCCATGTTCATGGTCACAAATGGTAAGATTTCCTCATTTTGTATGGCTGATTAATATTCCATTGTCCATATACCCACAGTTCTTTTAATCCATTCATCTGTTGATGGACACGTGGGTTGTTTCCATGTCTTGGCTATTCTAAGTAATGCTGCTATGAACCTGGGGGTGCAGATATCTTTTCGAGTTAATATTTTCATTTCAATATATCCCCAGAACTGGAATTGCTGAATGATATGGTAGTTCTATTTTTTATTTTTTGAGGATTTTCCATATTAGCTTACCAACTACCAACTACACCAACAGTGCAGAAGGGTTCCCATCTTTCTCTATCCATGTCAGCATTTGTTATCTCTGGTTTTTTTGATGATGGCCATTCTAAGAGGTGTAAGGTGCTATCTCACTGTGGTTTTAATCTGCATTTCCCTAATGATTAGTGATGCTGAGCATCTTTCCATGTAGCTTTTGGCCTTTCATGTAACTTCCTCAGAAAAATGTCTATTCACAAGTGTCCACTGCCCATTTTAAATTGGGGTGGTGTTTTTTGTTTTTTTGTACTGAAAATTGTGTAAGTTTTTAATATATTTTTAATATTAACTTATTAGATATATGGTTTGCAAATATTTTTCCCACTCCATAGGTTGTCTTTTCACTTTGTTGATGGTGTGCTTGCTGTGCAGAAGCTTTCGAGTTTAATGTAGTCTCACTTATTTATTTTTGAGTTTGTTGTGCTTTAGGTGTCACCTCCAAAAAGATCATTACCAAGAACCATGCCAAGAAGCTTTATTCCTATGTTTTCTTCTAGTAGTTTCATGGTTTCAAGTCTTACATTTAAATCTTTAATCCATTTTGAGTTAATCTGTGTGAGGGTGTAAGATGGTTCCAGTTTCATTCTTTTACATATGAATATTCCGTGATCCCAGCACCATTTATTGAAAAGACTATCTTTTCTCCATTAAGTATTCTTGGCTTGCTTGTCAAATATTAGTTGACTATATATGCTTGGCTTTATTTCTGGGCTCTTGATTCTGTTCCACTGGTCAGTCTGCCCATTTTTATGCCAATACATACTGTTCTGATGACTATAGCTTTAAATCAGGAAGTGGTATCTCTTTCGTTCTTTCTCAGGACTGCTTTGGCAATTTGGGGTCTTTTGTGGTTCCATACAAATTTTAGGAGTACTTTTTCTACTTCTGTGAAAAAGGCCATTCAAAACTTGATAGAGATTGCACTGAATCTATAGATGGCTTTTGGGAGCATTCATATTTAAACAATTAATTCTTCCAATCCATGAACATAGGATACCTTTCCCATTTATCTGTGTCTTCTTCAATTTTTCTCATCAATGTCATAGTTCCAGCACAGAGATCTTTCACCTCCTTAAATTTATTCCTAAGCATTTTATTGTTCTGATGCTATTGTAAATGGGATAGATATTTTTCATAAATTTCATTGTTAGTGTATAGAAGTACTACTGATTTTTGTATGTTAATTATGTATACTGCAACTTTACTGAGTTCACTGATCAGTTCTGCTTTTTGGTTGTCTTTGGGGTTTCCTATATATAAAATTATGTCATCTGCAAGTACAGACAATTTTAGTTTTTCCTTTCCAATACTGATACTTTTTATTTTTCTTACCTGACTGCTCTAGGTAGTACTTGTATTATGTTGAATAGGAGCGATAAGAGTAGACACCCTTGTTTTGTTCCTGATCTTAGAGGAAACATTTTCAACCTTTTACCACTGAGTACATTAGTTGTATGGTTGTCATTTATGGCCTTTATTATGTTGACATATGTTCCTTCTACACCTAACTTATTAAGAGTTTTTATCATAAATGATGTTAAATTTTGTCAAACGCTTTTTCTGCATTTATTGAGATGACCATATGATTATTTTCTTTCATTGTATTAATGTGATGTATCACATTGATTGATCTGTGTATGTTCAACCATCCTTGCACCCAAGGATAAATTCCACTTGACCATAGTATATGATTATTTTAATATGCTGCTGAATTCAGTTTGCTAGTAATTTATTGAGAATTTTTGCAGCTATACTACTCATCAATGATATTGACTGGACTGTAGTTTTCTTTTCTAGCAGTGTCCTTTTCTGGTTTTGGTATCAGGGTAATGCTGACTTCATAAAATGGGTTTAGAGTGTTCCCTCCTCTTCAGCTTTTTGTAAGAGTTTGAGAAGGATTGGTGTTAATTTTTCTGTAAATGTTTGGTAAAATTCACCAGTGAAACCAGCTGGTCCTGGGATTTTCTTTATTGGGAGAATTTTATAGTAATTGGTTTATTCAGAGTTTCTACTTCTTCCTCAATCTAAGTTGTATGTTTCTAAGGATTTTTCCATTTCTTCTAGGTTGTCCAGTTTGTTGACATATAGTTGTTCACAGTAGCCTCTTATAATCCTTTTAATTTCTGTGGTATCAGTTGTGATATCTCCTTTTTCATTTCTAATTTTGTTGATTTCGCTCCTTCCTCTCTTTTCCTTGGTTAGTCTAGCTAAAGGTTTGTCAATTTTGTTTATCTTTTCAAAGAACCAACTCTTAGTTTGGTTAATCTTTTCTACTGTTGTTCTGTAGTTATTTCTATTTCATTTATTTCTGCTCTAATCTTTATTATTTCCTTTCTTCTGCTAACTTTGAGCTCAGTTTGTTCTTTTTCTAATCCCTTAAGGCAGAGAATTAGGTTGCTTATTTGGGATCTTTCCTGCTTTTTTTTTTTTAAGATTTTATTTATTTGACAGAGAGAGACAGCGAGAGCAGGAACACAAGCAGGGGGAGTGGGAGAGGGAGAAGCAGGCTTCCTGCCGAGCAGGGAGTCCGATGTGGGACTTGATCCCAGGACCCCAGGATCATGACCTGAGCCAAAGGCAGACGCTTAACGACTGAGCCACCCAGGCGCCCTCTTTCCTGCTTCTTAACAGAGGTGTTTATTGGTATGAACTTCCCTTTTAGACTGCTTTTTGCTGCATCCCACATGTTGTGGTATACTGTGTTCCCATTTTCATTTATCTCAAGAAACTTTTTTATTTCCCCTTTAATTTCTTCTTTGATCCATTAATTGTTCAGTGTAGTATTTAATTTCCATGTGTTCACCTATTTTCCAGTTTTCCTCATGTAATTGATTTCTAGCTTCATACCACTGTGTTCAGATAAGATACTTGATATGATTTCAATCTTCTTGAATCTGCTAAAACTTGTGTGGCCTAACATATGGTCTATCCTAGAAAATGTTCCATGTATGCTTGAGAAGAATGTATATTCTGTGGATGTTAGAATGGTCAATATATGTCTGTTAGGTCCATTTGGTCTATAAGTGTTCAAATCTGCTGTTTCCTTATTCTCTGTCTGGATGATCTATCCATTGTTGAGAGTGGGATATTAAAGTCCCCAACCAATACTGTACTACTATTCATTTCTTCTTTTAGGTCTGTTAGTTTTTGCTTTATATATTTAGGTGCTCCAATGTTGGACACATAAATACTTCTAACTATTATATCTTCTGGATGTATTAATCCCTTTTTATTATTATATAATGACCTTCTTTGTCTCTTTTTACCATTTTTAAAATCTATTTGGTCTGAAATAAGTATAACTACCCCTGCCTTTTTTTTTTTTTTGGTTACCATTTGCTTGAAATTACTTTTTCCATCCCTTCACTCTCAGTCTATGTGTGTCTTTAGGGCTAACATGAATCTCTTGTATGCAGCATATTTTTGGATCTTGTTTTGTTATCCATTCAGCCACTCTATGTCTTTCAATCGGGAAAACTTAATCCACTTATATTTAAAGTAATTATTGACAGGAAAGGACTTATTATTGCCATTTTGTTAACTGTTTTCTGGTTGTCTTTTTTTTTTAAATAGATACAGCAGAAACAGCTTTATAAATAGCAATGTGAGAATAATTCACACAGAGCAGCCTGGAATAGCTTTTTAAAATGGTGATTTCACTGATCTTGCTAATGTCTCTAAGCAACTGAAGCCCTGTGCTAAAAAACAAATGGCTGGGGATGACTCTGCAAAGAAAAAGACACAAAGGCAAGAGTTTTGGTAAATGCATAAATTCTTTCCCCTGTACCCACCCCTGTCCCAAACTCCAGACCCACTAATGTTTCTTCCAGAATCACAGTTTAAACAGGCTAATATAGATCTGCACTAATTTCCCCTGGAATGATTAAATCATCCTTGAAACTACATATGCAATTCAAAAACACAGTGAAAGCCATAAAAAGAACACAGACCTAATTTCCTCAATATACAGGGGATGACTGTGGACATCTGAACCCAGAAGCATTACTGCAGTGCTAGTGCTAGAAAGTGTAATAATTTGATCTGAATGATGATGCAATATATTTTATAAGTAGCATTCTATATAAAATAAACAGATTAGTTTGTCCTAGGAAAACCTGACAAGAACACATGACATCTTTAAGAAGACATCAAAATTATAAATCAAGCATTTCAACAGTATAAAAAGCAAGGAGTAGAGCTGCCTCACATGTGAAAAACCCTATGAGTAATTCAGGCAAAAGATAACCAAAAAAATTCCATAATATATCTTATTTCAACCATGTCTATTATACCCGATAGATTCTGTGTATTTTAAACTTGCTTCCAATGCAAGGAAAATTTATTATTTTTAGTACTCCCTTAAAATACTTCAAACTGTCTCCTGAGCAATATTTAAGTTTTTTCAAAGCCAACTCCAACAATTCTTAATGTATTAGTCATCCACACTGACTCCGTATTTTCAACCACCCACTATCAGCAGCTAAATCCCTCTTTAGTAAAGCATTCTTTTTACTTCAGCTTTGGATTAATAATGGTGCTCTCTAGGCTTAAGCATACCTGGTATAAACAGTGGCACACACTTCTAAGCTGAGGGGGAAATTCTGAGGAGGAACTGATGATGGCATGGAAGAACTTTTCAGTCATCTGAAGAAGGTTCCGTTGGTTTTCCTCAAGGCTCTCTGACTGCTCTAACCTGCAAAAAAAAAAAAAAAAAAAAAAAGAGAGAGAGAGAGAGAAGGTAAAATCCATTTACAGTAAACAAATAAAAGTACTCTTTAAAAGAGACTTTCAGCCAAATGCAATGTTTGAACTTTGCTGGGATCTCAATTTGAATTTAAAAAACTGCAAAAAGACAATACTGAGAACTGTGTATAAGAATTCTTATCCCCTTATATTCTCACAAATTTAGTATATACTCAGCTTAGTGCCATCTTTTCCATTCTGGGTATGTCTGCCTGCAGAAAAGATGTATTCTGGTTTGCTCTCCACCTTTAGGGTAAAAAGCTTTTCTGTGAGGCAAGTCTGTAGTTATCCAGCTGTGCAAGGGATGGGGTAGATGAGTCCAATTCAAGGTGAAGTATTAGCGAGCCTATTTGCCCACAGGATCAAAAGCCACATACTCTAAAAACTGTTATCAGAAATAAAGGTAAAGGGCACCAGGGTGGCTCAGTCAGTTAAGCGTCTGCCTTCAGCTCAGGTCATGATCCCAGACTCCTGGGATCGAGCCTCGAGTCAGGCTCCTGATCAATGGAGAGTCGGCTTCTCTCTTCTCTCTCTCCCTCTGCCCTTCCTCCCTGATCCCCACCCCGCCTCGTGTTCTCGCTCTCTATCTCAAATAAATTAATAAAATCTTAAAAAAAAGAAAGGAAGAAAGGAAAGAAGATAGGTAGGTGACAGCTGATTCCTGAGTGCTTCCCTCCCAGCCCTCCTCCTTCCATTCTTGGTTTTGAACTAGGGCAGGGAAGAGGAATATTATTTATTAGGCATCTCCAACCCCAATGAATCCATGTGTCAAGCCACTTTAAAAATATACAGTATGTGCATATTTTATTGGAGCTAATGTACAGAGAACACATGAAAGAATGACAGATGATAATGAATTACAGTTAGAAAACTCTGTACTTTATCTTGTAGTCAACAGGGAACAACAGATGTTCTATGAAACAGAGTAACAAGAAGATTTAAGTTTCATAATAATTCCTACAGCAAATGACCTGAAAAATGAAAAAGACAATGTTGGGGCAATAATGGGGAAAGCACAGCAAAAGTCAATGGGATCACTATTTACAACTGTACCAAAAAGAATAAAATACCTAGGAAAATATTCAACCAAAGTGGTGAAAGACCTCTATACTCTTAAAATTATAAGACATTGATGAAAGAAACTGACGACAACACAAACTAGAGGAAAGATACACCATGCTCATGGATTGGAAGAATTAATATTATTAAAATGTGTATACGCCCAAAGCAATCTGCAGAGTCAATACAATTCCTGTCAAAATACCAAGTGTTTTTACCAAACTGGAATAAATAATTCTAAAGAATCACAAAAGACTTCAAAGAGACAAAGAAATCTTGAGAAAGAATTAAAAACTAGAGGTATCACAATCCCAGATGTCAAGATATACTACAAAACTACAGTAATCAAGACAGTATGGTACTGGCACAATAACAGTCACATAGATCAATGGAACAGAAAAAAGAGCCCAGAAATAAACCTATGCCTATACTGTCAATTAATCTATGACAAAGTAGGCAAGAATATACAATGAGGAAGACTGTCTTTTCAATAAATGGTATTGAGAAACTGGACAGCTATGTGCAAAAGATTGAAACTGGAGCAATTTCTTATAGCATATGCAAAAACAAACTCTAAATAGATTAAACCCCTAAATATGAGACCTGAAACCATAAAACTCCTAAAAGAAAACATAGAGAGTGATCCCTTGGATATCAGCCTTAACAACATATTTATGGATATGTCTCCACAGGCAAGGGAAACAAAAGCAAAAATAAACTATCGGGACTACACCAAAATAAAAAGCTTTTGCACAGCAAGGAAACCATCAATAAAATGAAATAACAACCTACTGAATGAGAGAAGATATTTGCAAATGACGTAACTGATAAGGGATTAATATCCAAAATATATAAGGAACTCACACAACACTCAAATACCCAAATAATCTGATTTAAAAAATGGACAGAGTGGGGGGGAAAAGGGGGAGTGCCTGGGTGGCTCAGTCGGTTAAGCATCTGCCTTCGGCTCAGGTCATGACCCCAGAGTCCTGGGATTGAGCCCCGCATTGGGCTCCCTGCTCAGCTGGGAGTCTGCTTCTCCCTTTCCCACTGCCCCTACCCTCTGCCCCACTTGTGCACTCTCTCGCTCCCTCTCCAATATAAATAAATCTTTAAAAAAACAAAAAAAGAAAAATGAAAAATGGACAGAGCACCTGAAAAGACATTTTTCCAAGACATAAAGGTGATCCACACACACATGAAAAAATGCTCAACATCACTAATCATCAGGAAAATGCAAATCAAAACCACAGTGAGGTATTACCTCACACCAGTCAGAATGGTTAATATCAAAAACAATAAGAAATAACAAGTATTGATGAGGATATGAAGAAAAGGATACACCTGTGCCCTGTTGATGGGAATGTAAATTGGTGCAATCATTGTGAAAAACAGTGTGGAGATTCCTCAAAAAATTAAAAATGAAAATACCATATGATCCAGTAATTCCCATTACCTGGTATTTACCCAAAGAAAATGAAAACTAATTGAAAAGATACATGCACTCCTATGTTTACTGCAGCATTATTTACAATAGCCAACTCAATAGAAGCAACTCAAGTGTCCACCGATAGATGAACAGATAAAGTGTTACACACACACACACACACGCATGCGTGCACAGGAATATTACTCAGCCATTACAAAAGAATGCAATCTTGCCATTTGCAACAACATGGATGGACCTAGAAGTTATTATGCTAAGTGAAGTCAGTCAGAGAAAGGCAAATACTGTATGACTTCACTTATATGTGAAATCTAAAAAACAAAACAGGGGCGCCTGGGTGGTACAGTAGGTTAAGCAACTGACTCTTGGTTTCAGCTCAGGTTGTGATGTCAGGGTTGTGAGATCGAGCCCAGTGTCAGGCTTGTGCTCAGCACATAGAGTCTGCTTCAGATTCTCCCTCCCTCCCTCTTTGACCCTCCCACTCGTGCGCTTGCTCTCTCAAATAAATAAATAAATCCTAAAAAACAAAACAAATGAACAAACAAAAAAACCCACACTTTCAAATACAGAGAACAAACTGGTGGTTGCCAGAGGAGAGGTGGCTGAGGGGATGGGTGATATAGGTGAAGGGGATTAAGTGGTACAAACTTCCAGTTATAAAATAAGTAAGTCATGGAGATGAAAATGAAAAGTACAGCATAGGGGATATAGTCGATAATGTTGTAACAACGTTGCATGGTGACAGATGGTGACTGCACTTATCATGAAGACCACTGAGTAATATACAGAACTGTGAAACCAAAATACTGTATACCTGAAACTAATATAACATTGTGTGTCAATTATACTTCAATAAAAATTTTTAAAATCTGATTGAAAGGGGCACCTGGGTGGCTCAGATGGGTAAGCGTCTGCCTTCGGCCCAGGTCATGATCCCAGGGTCCTGGGATCGAGCCCCACATCGGGCTCCTGGCTCAGCAGGGAGTCTGCTTCTCCCTCTCCCTCTGCCCTTCTCCCTGCTCATGTTCTCTGTCTGTCTCTCTCTCTCTGTGTGTGTCTCTTTGTCTCAAATGAATAAATAAAATCTTTAAAAAAAAAAACATTTTAAAATCTGATTGAAAAAACAAAGTAAGATCAATACAGTATTGACTAAATAAATAATTATACAGCCAAACTATGAAGTATTACATAGCAGGTAAAAAGAATGAGATTAATCTTTCTATAGTGACATAGAAAGATCTATGAGATAGAGCTAAGTTAAAAAAATTAAGTTGTGGGGGCGCCTGGGTGGCTCAGTTGTTAAGCGTCTGCCTTCGGCTCAGGTCATAATCCCAGGGTCCTGGGATCAAGCCCAGCATCAGGTTCCCTGCTCTGTGGGAAGCCTGCTTCTCCCTCTCCCACTCCCCCTGCTTGTGTTCCCTCTCTGGCTGTCTTTCTCTCTGTCAAATAAATAAAACCTTAAAAAAAAAAAAAAGTGAAAAAAAAATTAAGTTGTGGAGCAAGATGGCAGAGGAGTAGGAGACCTAAATTTCGTCTGGTTCCAGGAATTCACCCAGGTAGGGATCAAACCATTCTGAACACCTACAAACTCAACAGGAGATTGAAGAAAAAAATAGCAGCACCTCTCTGAACAGAAAAGCGACCACTTTCTGGAAGGTAGGACGTGCGGAGAAGTGAATCCAAGGCGATATTTGGGAAGATAGACAGCGGGGGAGGGGGACTCCGTCTGCTGCTTCTGGTAAGTGACAGAGCAGTGGAGCACAAAATCGCAACTGTTAGAAGTCGGCTCCACTGAGGGACATCGTTCCAGTGGCTAAGTGGGGGGTGGAACACTCGCTGGGACAGTGTGGTCTCAGGACCC